AAGGTTATCGTACCTTCGCTTGTAAATTTGGTTCTTTAAGTAACCCCACAAGAAGTAATCAAGTGGGTTTAGATCTGGTGATCTGGGAGGCCACTGTATTGGGCCATTTGTTCCTATCCACTGATCATTAAAAGTAGTACTTAGAAAATGATAAGTACCTCTGGAGTTGTGGGCAGGTGCGCCATCTTGCTGAAAATGCAGATGATGTCTACTTATAAGATCCAATTCGTCTAAGAAATTAGTCAGAATTTCTGACATAAATTCCACATATCTTTCACCAGTTAGGGTTCCCTCATAAAAGAACGGGCCAACAATTTTTGAACCAATTATACCGCACCAAACGTTGAAACTGAAACGGACTTGTGGGCCTCTTGGATGTACTAACAAAAGATTTTCTCTTGACCAATAATGGTGGTTTTTTCTATTAAACATTCCAGAATTTGAAAAATTTGATTCATCTGTCCATAAAAGGTAACGAAAGTTATTTACATTTTGGCGACAGAAGCTAAGATCCAATGGGAAAAAACAAGTCTTCTCTCTGGATCCCCTGCCAAAAGCGTTTGAACTGGTCGGTACTTATACGGAATAAATTTGTATTTTTTTAAAATCCTTTGAACAGTACCATAACTGAAATTAGAGTCCTTGAGAATATCTGCTATTGAATTCTCACGATAAGCTTCAAAATATCCAATAACTGCAATTTCCGTGGCCTCGCTTATTATGAATTCTTTTTTTGCCCTTGTTTTAGCAAAAACATTTTCGTTGCCCCTAAATTTTCGATAAAGTCTCAGAAAATATCGTTCATACGGTTGAATGCGAGCGGGATATAATTCACTGTAGTATTCTCTTGCTCTCAAGGAGGATTTTCTGCACACTAAATAGCATTCTAACATATCACACTTTTCTTCATGGGAGAACATTTTTCTTTAAATTAATGACACAATAAAGCTTATAAACAAGTATTTACACTAATGTTTGACATTATTTGATTTTATCATTGTTTTCCAAAGCCTTCTAGTTGCGAGTATGTCCAGTTTAACAATTTGTCGCTTATCTTAATGCTGTCAAATCGCGAACGCCATGTTGTTTTCATAGCCGTCTTAATATTATAATACTGCAAATAATTAAAAATATTTATCGTTATTTTGACTTTATTTTTGATTTTAGCGGAAAAGTCATTATGAACTTTTTTGTTTAAAATTTGATGCTTTAACAGAAAAAAATATAATATACAGGGGTTTCCATTTAAAAAAATGTTATTTTACTGAAAAAAATCAAAATAACGACTCTCAATTGTTTTTTTTTATTTCTCATTTTTACCAGCGTTAAAAATGCTACTAGTTTGCTAATTCAAACAACTTTGTATTTTCACTAATAACAAAGTTACTAATGGTGGACACTTAATTTGGATAACCCTGTATATGTGTGTGTATACATATATGTATATGTGTATCGGTTTATGTGTTTATTTGTATGAATATATATCTATATATATATATATATATATATATATATGTGTATATTTATGTAAAATGTAAGTTAATACCCACGCACAAGAATTTATTCTTCTGTGGGTAAATTCAGTTTATTTACGTATACCTATGTTAGTTTTAGTTATATTTGTATGTTACGTGAATAAACTTATTATTATTATTATTATTATTTCCAGGCCTATCCAGGAAATTCTACTTTTCTGTAATAACTAAGGTTTGGCAACGTCAATGTGTGACGTATTATATATTTTTGGAATCAGAATTGGAAATCCTCTTCACATGTGCAGAAATGCAATATGGCGTCTATAACAAAACATAAAGTTGATGCTGGAGGACAAGAGAGGAAACGTCATATTCAAACTCTAATTATACAATCTTATAGGAGAGAAAAAGTGGCGATGTTAATGTGCAATTTACTTTGAAATCCCGCTACAAAAAAAGTTAGGAAAAAATTAAAACGATTTTGGGAAAATCCGTTTTTTCCGCCTCTCTCCAGAATTCAAATTTCAAAGCTTTTGAAGCGGCATTTTGTTGATTATCTAAATACGCAAATTTTTCCCCCACTTAAGCGACTTTGTATCTCTTACTGTTTTCCAGATCCCAATGATGAGGGTCGAATTTGAAGCACCCTGTGATAAATATTTAGTTCGTACAAAGATTAACATTATTAAATATAAGACAAAAACTAAATTTCATCAATATGATTCAAGAACCAATAACTTGAGATCAATTGGTATCGACTTATATTCTCCGCCTATTTTCAGGTTACCAGTAGGTGGCTTCAGAGGGGAAATTAGATAAAAAATTATCCTAATGTCTGTGTTTTTGCTAGACTGTTTGTTATAATATATTCTTGTACTTACGTCTCAACTCCATAATTCTTCAGGGACGCGCCAAAAATTTTCATACATAACTTGGTTAATAAATCTATCTATACAGGGTGACTTTGAAGTTGAGTCATTAATTTTCAGATAATGATTGTAGAAGGAAGATAAACCAAAATATGTGTGTAAAAATAAAAAAAAATTAAAAAAAAAATGTTACCTTGTTTTATAAAGTATCCTCCCGACAAGTATTTCAGTGCGGACCTGTGCGCCCAAAAGCATGTCACAAAAACTGTTCGAAATGATTTCCGTTTTGCTCGACGCACAGCTGGGCGCGTCTTAGCCATGTCTCTTTACAAGCACGCAATAAAATCACTGGTTGATTTCTGATCACTGTACTCATTTCCTCAATTCGAGCACGTAATTCTTCGCGTGTATTAACCGGTGTTTTATACACTAGAGTTTTTAGCCAACCTCACAAACAAAAGTCTAAAGGATTTAAGTCCGGAGACCTTGGCGGCCAAGGTACAAAACCGCCACGGCCGATCCAACGATTATTAAATTGTCTATTTAAAAATTCACGCACATTTCTTGCATAATGGGGTGGTGCCCCATCTTGTAAAAACCACATGTTTTGTCTAATATTTAAAGGCACATCTTCCAGTAAACCAGGCAAATTGTGTTGCAAGAAATCAAAATAATTTTCACCAGTTAAGCGATTTGGTAATTCAAAAGGCCCCACTAAAATTCCATTAACAATTCCCGCCCACAGGTTGATTGGTTCAAATCGCTGTTGAAAATTGGTTTCCCTTATTTCATGGGGATTTTCAATAGCCCAAACGTGAGAATTACGTGAATTAATAATTCCGTTTCTAGTAAAGAGGGCTTCATCACTCACTAAAATTTGATTAAAAAAATTGTCATCATTTTGATGTTTATTTAAAAGCCAATTGCAAAAGTCAACCCTTTGTTCATGATCTTCCGGTTGTAAGGCCTGCACTTTTTGTATGTGAAACGGATAGAACTGATTTTCACGTAGAGTTTTCCAAGTTTTATACTGACTAATCGCCAATTGAATTGAAATTTGTCGGGTGCTTACTGTTGGATCATCACTTACTAATTCTAAAATTTGTTCTTCTAGTTCTATTTGATCGTGTGGTCTTGGAGCACCGGCATGATCTCCTCTGTGAGGTCTTAAGTCACCTGATTCACGAGCTCTTTGCACTACATTAACAAAGGCACGAGGGGTTGGTTGCACTCGATTGGGAAACCGATCCGCATAGATCCGTGATGCCGCGGCAGCATTTTGTAAATAAGAACCATGTCCACAAGTTCAGCATTTTCGTAAACATGTGCCATTTTTGATTTGAGCCTCGCAACAGACACGATTATTCACTTACGCGTTACCGACTACCGACTGATACTGACTGTATACAACTGAAGAAAATAATTGTAAAAAGATCGTTCCAAATTCTTTCGCTTTTTTGTTTCCGATGCGATGAACGGATAAGGCGGATTATATCTGTTGTTGCCAAACACGAGAACATAATATCATTATTGAGACAGGGCGGTACTCAAACTTCCAAAGGGCTATAACTTTGTTACTTTAATTTTACCAGAAAAATGGTAAAGGAAAAAAACATTTCTTTTGATCAGATCTACTCACTGTTAAAATAAATGACTCAACTTCGAAGTCACCCTGTATATAAAAAAGTAGGATTGTGTGTGTACTGAGTACCTAAGGCGTACGTCCAGCCTAGTAGCATATACGTATATGTGAACATCTACAACTGCAGCTTTCAACAAGACACTCAATTAATTTTGATCAAGAAATTTTCCATTGGGGCAAACAATATTTCTCCTTGTGTACCTTCCGTCGGTAAGGATGCATATTTGAACAAAGAAACCTTGAGGGAGAAGCACACTGATGCACAAAACAACAGAAGAACAAATAGCAGCAGCGCAGATGGCGTAGGCCCTCCGCTAATTACGAAACAAACGAATGTTAGTCTACTTTGTGTAATATGTAAAGCTCAATTTACTGACCTAATCAGAAAAAGAGCGCTCCATTGTTTCTAATGAGCTGGCTAAGCGATATCTTCGCTCTATGCTCTTCTCGTCCTTTGCGTAATTATCTTTTCAGTCGACTACTCCGACTGACGTAGCTGGCTCTGATGTTGCTCTTCCTGCAAACGAATCCTTCATTTTTAGAATGAACACTGGATGTGATGAAAAATACAAGGGGGATCCGAATAATTCAAAGGAAATGAACCCTTAAATGGAAAAAATGGCGTTGACGCCTACTTGAGTGGCTTGACTTTGCACAACTCACGGAACGCTGTCATTATAGGCCCCATACACCTGCGAACAAATTGCGCAAACGGATGTTGCACAAAAAGTGGTTGTACAAACAAGGTGATCCACACACTATGCAATTTACTATGCAATTTTATGCAAACTTCAGTTGTGAGTTGTACTCATGCACCTCAACATGCCGTCTAATGACGCAGCCTGTCTAGCTATAATAATTGCTGCAGCCTGTGATGTTGGCGTTAATAAAAGAAAACGGAAGCAGAGAGTTTGGATGAAAGAGTGGTTAAAGAAAAGATCTCTTTTTAGTCACGCAAATCTCCTTAAAGAACTTCAAGTGAGTTCACCTTTAGATTATAAAAATTATTTACGAATGAATTCCACTATTTTCGGCGAATTATTGGCTCTGGTAACACCATATATACAAAAAAAAAGACACAATATTGAGAGAGGCGATATCTCCCAAGCAGAGATTGTTTGCTACTCTAAGATATCTTGCATCTGGACTAACATTTGAGGGTTTAAAATTTGAAACTGCGATTGCTGCTCAAACCCTTGGACATATTATCATCGAGACCTGTGAAGCAATCATAAAGGTTTTGAAGAAATATTTAAAGGTAATAAATGTATTACTTTATTATTCTTTTTAACATAAACCAGAAACTAAGATTAACATACTATATACTACTACTATATCCTTAGTTATATTGTGGGTCAGTGAGTAGTTCTCCTATTACCGTATATTGTAGTTGTGTAGTATCATCAGTTACCTGTACTGGGTTTGGAGACGGGAATGATGGGACAGAATTTGAATGTGACGAGAATGATTGGCAGGATGAAATTTCAAGGGGGGTACGTACAGGGGGTTCATTTATAACAACTGAATGTCTATGTAAAGTTCCTAAGCGCCCTTCATATAAAACATCATTTATGGCTTTTTTAGCATAAATTTGCTGATCTGATGAGAGCTTCATGAACTCTAATGCCCAACTTTTTGCCAAAATCTCCACTTCCTTGTTAGAAGTGCGAAGATGTTCAATAGTTCATTCCGTGTTTGTGATTCCTCAAATTCAGTTGATCCTTTTCGTTTGTTAGCTCTACGTTGTATAGGAGTAACCGGCACATCCATTTCTGAAAGTGTATATGTATCTGCGGCTGTATCTGTTTCTGGTGGTGTGGGCGATTCTGGAGCTGCATGCCTTCCTGGAGGTGTATTGGGTCCTTGACTACTTCTGTCTTGGGAAGAATCCTGCAACAAATAAAAGAGATATAGCATGCAGACATTTAAAATTACAAAAATAATTATAAAAATAATACCAACAAATAACACCATGCAAACTTCTAAAAATACAATTATAAAAATAACACCATGTTTTCTTTTCAGCTACCACAAAGTGAAAATGAATGGAGAAATGAGGCTGAAGCTTTTGCGAGGAAGTGGAATTTTCCTCATTGTCTTGGGGCGATAGACGGCAAACATGTGAAAATATTTAAGCCACCTGGAACTGGTTCATATTACTTTAATTACAAACATTCGTTTAGCATTGTTCTAATGGGAATCGTAAATGCAAATTATGAATTTTTGATGGTTGATGTGGGAGCAAATGGACGAGTCTCTGATGGAGGGGTTTTTTCCAATACAGCATTCTGTAAAAAACTTGTAGAAAAAGATCTGTGCATTCCTGAACCAGAAAATTTAACATCGACTAATATCAAATTGCCCTATGTTTTTGTAGGGGATGATGCTTTTCCACTTATGGAAAATTTGATGAAACCATTTAGCAAGAAAACCCTCAGCAACGAAGAAATGATTTATAACTACAGGGTGTCACGTAGCCGCCGAATCATTGAAAATGCGTTCGGGATACTAGCTTCTCGCTTCAGAATTCTGTTAAATGAAATTAACCTATGTCCAGAAAAAGCTGTCATCATAGTACTGACATGCTGCCACTTGCACAACTTCTTGCGACATTACAAAGTAGAGTCGTATTATCAAGGTGGCATAGATGTTGAAAACATAAATAGTGGAGAGGTTGCAAATGCTGATTGGAGAGCAGACCCTACATTATTACAACTACAGGCACTCCGAGGAAGAAACACTACCACTGTAGCAAAACAAATAAGAGCACAGTTTTGTAATTATTTTAATACTGTTGGAGCTGTTCCATGGCAGAACAAGATATTTCAGCAATAATTGTAAATTAATAATGTTAACTAGTTTTTTACCGATACTCCTATGAATACAGAATTAAAATATAAATTGTTTACTTACTGCGTCTTCATTATCAATCTCATAAAATGGGTCATTCATGGTAGAGGTTCCAGGTACTTGGGTTTCTTGATCCCTCAAGAAATCTAATTCCTTGAAGTACCATAAGCTTGGTTCGTAAATACTTTCAGTTCCTGTCCCTGATTTATAACTTGCAATTACTTTTTTTAATTCTCTCCGATAGGCACTGCGTAAAACATTAATTTTCTTCCGCACCATCTCTCTGTCGGCATTAGGTTCGACTTCTTTAAGTTTTTCAACTAGTTTTTCATAAGCCAAATTCTTCATATTTCTATTCTTGTAGAGATCGCTCTTCACCTTCCATACTGCCGGTAACTGACGATATAAATCAATAAAATCGCTTAAAAATTCTTTGTTATTTCCAAAACAACCGCTCATTTTCAAAACTAAGCACGTGGAACTCGGACAAACAATCAGTTATTGCACAACGTGTCTGCAGAATAGCCCATATACTCTGCAACTAGTTGCGCAACGCCGCTGGTTGTGCAATAAAAATCAAACTATTTTGAATTTCTGCAACCCGTTGCGCAGCACGTCAAACAACCCCATACACTACACAATTGTTGGTACAACAGGCTCCGTTGCGCAATTTGTTCGCAGGTGTATGGGGCCTATTAGTCAGTCAAGCAGGCGCATACAATTAGTCGTACCAACGAATCCAGACTAGGTAGAAGGAGCCAGTCAAGGAATTTGTTTGTCTCCTAATTCTCATAGTATGTAGAGAAGATCAAAGTGCATACGACAAGTGCACTTGTCATAAGTTATATTTTTTGACAGTTCTGTTATTTTGCTATCTAAGTGACACCAATGTATGCACTGAAACTACGCAATTTTGGCGACAAACAATGCAATGCAAACATACAGGCCTGATTTTTTATAATCTACGGGAGTTCGTTGGATATTACCAATTTGTGATCCAAACATTTTTCCTCTATCCTACCAATCATACGACAACGTTGTTGTGATGGTGGTTGCGGCGAGTTTACCTTGCCAACCCTGTTCGCTGATCCTGTTATACAAAGACTATGGTCGATCACCTGACTGTATTCTATCAACATGTCAAAGGGCCTTGACACTGTCAGTTCTTGTCTACAAAATGACTTTTTTCTTGGCCTGAATACATATTTGGACAAAAAAAAAACGAATTTTATAATTATTTTTCAAACGTTGGTGGGAAATTAGCTGACGAAAAGGAACAAAGTGCGCCTTTTTAAAGCGTACTAAAATACCGAATTCAATTCATATGAGAGAGCAACACGAAGTATTTGAACTGATTATAAATGTAAAAAGTAAGAAAGCTTCAGGAATAGATTCGGAACCATTAAAATCAATTGCTTATTATTTCGGAACTCTTCACCTGTTTAATTAACAAATACCGTTCTGCAGGCCATTTCCCGATGATTTGTGGTTGTCAAGCCTCTCTAAAAGTCAGCAGATACTATGAACACAAATTATAGACCAATTTCCCTCATTTCTAACCTTGCAAAGGTTTTAGAAGCATGTATCAAAAAAACGGGTGAATAACTATCACCTTAAATGGAACAAACAGACGGATTTTGTCACAAAGAAGATAAGATATGTCTTGACAAAGTTTGAATATCTTTCGAAGATACTTACTATTGATCAACTAGGTTTCCTGTATTAAGCCCTTTTAGCCAGTGATATTCAGTACGGGATTGTATTATAGGATGCCAATGCAGAAACATAATATGTTAATAAAGTAAAATTGGTACAAAAATGTCTTCTAACAATGATTTATAAAAACGCTTACTTACCCAAAAGAAATGCCTGATTAACAAAATAATATTTTTTTAAGAAGCCTTATCTGTTTAGGCCCAAAGTTATATTATGAAATACCGGCTAAAGTCCAGATTCTAGCTCATTCGGTTCACTTAAAAGTAAACTAAAGATATGGCTGAATGAAATTCATATAGTAAAAATACATCACTTTGGCGATCGGTATACTGTCACTGAAATGTGACATGTTCATAAACATTTCTTTTATAAATATTGTTTTTAGAGTTTTAAGGTGAGAATTGAATTTTATGTGATATCGATTTTTTAATTTTGGCTCAAATTACTAATTAGACATATATAGGGTGTTTCAAATTCGACCCTCACCATTAGGACCTTGGAAACTGTTAAGAGATACGAAGTAGCTAAAATGGGACAAACTTGCGTATTTAGGTACTAATTACCGACATGCTGCTTAGAAAGTTTCGAAATTCAAAGTACTTCCGTAGAGAGACGACAAGAACCTAATTTTCTCAAAATCATTTTAATCTTGTCCTGACTTTACTTAAGAGATTTCAAAATGAACTGCACATTAACATTGCCACTTTTCTCCTCAAGATGGCATAATTAGAATTTCAATATGAGGTTTCGTCTCTTGTCCTCCAGCATTAACTTTACTTTTTCTTATGGACGCCATGTTGAATTTTTGTGCAGATAAAAAGAGTTTTTAATTATAATTTCAAAAATGTATAATATGTCATACATTGACGTTGCCAAACTTTAGTTATCCCAGAAAAACGGACGTTCCTAGGTAGGCCTTGAAATTATCAGATTTCATTTGTTTCGCATCCCAGACCAGACCTCAAATTGAGCTTAGCAACAGAGTTTGGAAGACTGAGAAGTGGTCCTTCTCTCGATTTCCGCTGTCGGAAGTATAAGGTGTTATTAAAAAAAGATTTGACCTTCCAGTGATCTTGAAGTTCATTACTTAGGTCAGATCCAAAGACACCATTGGATATCCGCAAGAAATCATTAAAATACATAGTTTGCCTATACGACTGTTGGCTTTCAAGTTATTTCACCGTACATGTTTTTGACCTTGACCATGACCTTCCAAGGTCAGAATTCTGGTCGACACCGTATTTGAATGTAGAATTTTCGGCTCTTTCCATTTACGAGATCAAAATGGAGTTCAGTTTAAAAAATAAATCAACTTGACCCTCAAGTGACCTTGGAGGTCATACTCAAGGTTAAATCCAAGGTCAGCATTGGATAGCTGGGAAAAATTTCTGTCAATTACCGGAGCTACCATTATTAGTTGACAAATTATCGTGGGGTACCGGAGCTCTCCAAACACCATGTACCAGTTTAAATAAAACGCGGATGGTACATTTACCCCCAAAAATTCGCCTAGAGGTCTAAAAAGATGTGACACCTGCGCAAAATGCATCCCGCATGCAGGAAACACCCAGCAATCTTGACGAAAGGCAGAAGAATCGTTGTATCGATCGGTCTACTCCCTGTTTCCTTATTTCAATTACTCATTTTTTAATTATAACATCGACCGCACCCGTCGGCGCACAAAAGCCGAAACCCTTTTTCGCATTTGCTTCTATTGCCTGGCTTTGCTGCCGCCGTGTGCGCAAGAAACATCATCAAGTAGGTTGACCCTGCTCCTCCTACGCAAGTTTATAATCAGTTTATAATTAATTAGGTACAGTGCAATTTGAGCCCCCTCCAACAGGGAAATTGAACAGATCAAGTCAGTCAAGCAGGCCCCTATAATTAGTTCTTAGACTTTTTTTCCTGCTCAACCGCTAGTTATTGTTCATCTGGCAAAGTTGTCCGTTCACACATCTGCGTGGCAGCGCCCACCATAGATCGCTGTATTGAATTATCGTTCATTACGTGTATACAGTGTGTTAGGGAAATAATATTCGTAACTTCAAGAGGTAATTACTTGCCTTATTCTAAGCAAAAACGTTCATTATAATCTATGTCCAAAAATCAACCGTTTTGGAGCAAAAAAATGCTGAACTTATTAACTTTTTAGTCATGAAACAAATTAATTTTGCCCATTAATTATTTAAATTCATATGCCTAGTAACGAAAAATGTATCAGTACACATATTTATGAATTAACTGTCTAACAAAATAATTTTCTTGCTTATTAAATACAATTTTCCGAAGAAAAACAGACAAACAAAATCTCTCACACAACTGGCAACGTCGTACTCCGCCTGCACTGCGTGTATCATCGCGTGTTATCCACGACCGACATCGTGTCGGTAGGCAAACAAATAAATACCTACATTGGGGAAAAATTATTTGATAGTTTCTTGCATACGTTATTGCAAGTAATGTTTATCCGAATTGAAATCACATTTTATTATTCAGTATGTATTACTTACCGTATCAGTGCGTGCATTTTGATACGAAAGAGATGTTTTTGGTACGCGAGTATCACGATATGCTTATTATTTACGGAGAGACTCATTGCAATTCTGAAGAGGCCAGGCGCATTTACGAAGAACGGTTTCCTGATCAAAGGCTACCAGCTAGAAGAACATTCGTAGAAGTATCCTAAAGACTTCTGGACACAGGGAGCGTAGTGATAAATTTTAACAATCGCGGAAGACATCGTGAAGTTGGAGTGGAAACCGAAGAACAAATTTTGAATTAAATTGGTGTCTCACACTGGATTGTACATCGGACCCTTAAAGAACAGTTATTGTACCCATATTATGTTCAGAGGGTTCAAGTTCTTTCGCCTGAAGATTTTCCACGAAGAAAGAGCTTGCGTAGATGCCCATGGTTCCCATTTTGAACATCTATTCTGATTACTTATGCATTTAACTGTAACTGTATGTGATTTACGGATGTTGGGTTTTTTCTTTTTTCGTGCATCGCATCGTTTCAAATAAGTGACTGATAATCGTGCGAATTGATGGTGTGTATCGCCACGTTCCGGTAAGTTCTGTAATGTCCTGTACTGAAAGCGTTATTAAATAAAAAATATTAACCACAAAAAATTCCGTAAAAGTATTCAATCATTCAAAGCATATTTTCAACAAAAATATCATACAAACGTAAACTATTCGGTGCATCAGTTGCGGTCTTCGATCTCTCGTATCGCGGTTGCGTTGCAGCGTTGCCAAATGTTTGAGAATGTTTAATTATTTACGACTCACTTTCCTCGAAAACGATTGATTTTCGGACATAAGTTAGAATGAACTTTTTTGTTTAGAATAATGCAAGGAATCTCTCATCTTAAAGTTACGAATATTATTTCCCTAACACCTTGTATATCGTGTGTGCTGCAGTACGGATAGATGAGTCAGCCAGACTGCTACGCCAGGTGCTGAGCTTAGAAAGCAGGAGTATGCGGATTGAAATTATTAATCGTTCTAACTTCTGAAGGCAAACAATGTGTGAAATTTCTCTGAATAGAATTACCGAGTGTCACGTGTTAAAATCACGTAACCTTTCTTTTTACTGTTTTGATCACTTATCAGTAATTTGAATTTCTCTTCATTAATAGTAGAGTACCGGTTCTTAGACCAAACCTTTTTCAATGATGTTCTTTTGTCAAATTTCGTAGTGTATTGATTGTAGAGTTTCACACGTATTACATCTGTCGTTCTCAGCGACTCAGTATTGTATTGAAATCTTTTTGGATACTTATGTCATAGTATTATTAACGACTGTCTGAGAAATTTCCTCATAAAATAGCGTTGGTCGCTTGTAGAGTAGGCAACCAGCGCGCCACCTTGTGACTTTACACGTACTAGCAGTATAGGTATATTTTGTTCTGTCGAACGGGCCTTATTTAACCTTCTCTTAGGGGGTTGCGTGCGCAGACGGTCCAGCGCGATTTTACTTTCTGCTGTAATTTTGGTTGTGTGCGGGCGTTTTTTTTGTTCAATATCTGATTCCCTTTAGTGGAATGCCATTGTGGAGATCTACGATTCACACTCCTCCAGCTTTGTTTTGTAGCTGCCTTGTAGCCGTTTCGCAGCCGATTTTGTTGGAAGCCATCTCTTCCCCTTTATAAAAACCCTGATGTGAACAGATAAGATATCATTATAATTGAGTATTTTATAGTTATCAATATATTGATAGTTGCTGACTGAAATTCTTTGTGTAATATTGAGTTTGTTTGGTATTTTACGTATTCAAATTAATATAGGGTAGTGCCTACATGTCACTGTCTTTTGGGCTTATTAGAGTACATTGATCATGATTTTGAATTTTGAGCTACCATAACTTATTTTAGAACAGGGAATAACTTTCTGATCGTATATCACTTTGGTATATTTTTATCTTTTCTTGCCCTTACAGAAAGAAAGGTAAATTTCTAGTAACAAAGAATGTACATGGATTTTTCTTTGTTTTGAGTGTTGTAAATGTGTAGTTCTGTCTCAGACATAGAGTAGAGAGTAGTAGATTTTTAAACAGTCTTTTTCTCTCTCTAGGGTTCTTTTTGTACCATAAATTTTGAGAACGAGGCAAGCAGCCCCTACCTTGTGGCGTTTCTAACGTAAATGCTCACTAC